TTCGGCGTCGCTTGCCAATTTCACTCGAATGTGAATTGGCTAACCCTAACCTCGTATTTTTACCTATACAAGTATGAATATATTGTAGATGTGAAAGTCTTGTTTTTAAATTAACGGCAATTGCATTTGCAAAAGCTTCGTACAGTTTCTAAAAATAGCCTAATCAATAACACGGGTTTGCAAATTTAGAAATTAAACTTTAAAAAACCAGACGTTGTGTCATCAATTGGGTCATGTTTTATAGAGTGGGTATTTATCTATCTCTACACGGCCCATCGGGCAGGGATGTCCTCAACGTTTGGTGTGCATTTTTCTACTTCTGTCAAACTATTGTAAATCAGGTGTTCTCAACCATTTGTTCCTTGCAACCAGGGATGGCCAATTCGAATAAAGTATTCGAATGTATTCGAATATCTCGTCATTCGAATATCGGAATTCACGTTCATAAGAATATCGGATATTTGTGTGACGTCACACATTTTTGACGCCGCTTTCAAGACGTTTCCGTTGAATGAAAACATTCTCGAAAGAAACTTGCGCGTGATTGTTTTCATCACTCATCAGCGTAACGTGTTATTTAGGCCCGTAAACGCCTTTACGATTGTGTTATTTTCTCTAAAACGAAAATTTTCCACAAATTTGTTCCACGATAACGATAACATTTATTTTATTTTTGTACGCGCACGGAATTGTGAATCTGGTAAATACGTTCATCGGCGGTGAGTTTCTAAAGACAACGCAACTTTTTGATTGAAAAGCGGAAATTTAAAATACTGAAAATAAAACCGTAAACAACATAAGTTTTATTGAGGCCCGCGAAAATTTAAAAAACGCTTTTCTAGGCAGTGAAAATCGCAAAATTTTGTATGCTTCTGGCACACATTATGTTTGGTCGGCGTTTACAAACATATCGTCACTAATTGAGGGCGGGATTTGCCTGATTATCCATTACTTTAAATTGCCGTCGAATATTTTTGGGTTAACACGATACAATGTTTGAAACGCGACTTTTTCCCTGGTTGTGAGGATGTATATAATATAATTATTCTAAAGTATATTCAATCAATTTTATTGTGATGAAATAAATTTTACTCTGAGCATTTCGATCGAGCGGAGTCACTGTTAACAAGTACATCAAATTACAATATTATTTGTTGTAAAAGTCGACTTTTTTAACAGGTGGCATAATCGCGGCGATGAATATGTATTTTTAATTAACTGCTAAACTTTATATGTATATTCATTGTATGAAATGAATTATTCTCTACACTTAACAGGATTTTATATAATTATTTGAGATTTTTCTAATGGCGATAACGAGTTGGCAAGATTGCAAAAATACGTATTAAAATTAAATACATCAGGCAGTTTATCTCGTAATTTTAGGTCACAGATTGCCGTGGACCGAATAGTAATGTTTTTTTTTTTGACGTAAGAAGAAGCAACCGCGAGTTATGTTGGACACATTAAATTAATATATAAAGATATTTAGAATCTCTTAGTTGTCATGAATTGAATATTTTACGTAACAGAATGATCATTATATGCTGACAAGACGGCTCTTTTAACGAGCGCGGGATCGCGGTGGGTGCTACAGGCGCCAATGAGAATTTCCGATTTCGAAAATCCTGGCTGCGCGCTGGCAGTGGTCGTCATCTATTCTCTACTAATTTATTTCTAACTCCAAACACAACAATATGTTACACATAATAACAATATGGTTCACATAAATTTATATACAAATATACTGGTAGGTAGTAGAATGCTCTAGGCTTAAATATTAGAATTTTCAAAGGCATAATGGATTTTCGATTGTTGTTGCCTGTATTGCCCATAAATTTTATTACTCTCAGAAAATATACACAATTATCTGAATAAAAGTAGTATTTTTGTCAATAGACTCGACTATTATCGTAATATCATGGTACCAAGGATAGAAAGCGTCAGACAACTCCTTGGCTATCTTTTCATATGGTCATTTGTACAAAGTGAATAATTTTAATAAACTGACTGTGTCACAAGTTGCTATTATTTTTTATTAATAGCTATAAACTATCAATTACTTTGTGTACATATACTGTTGGTCTGTGGCTTCATTCTGATATTTCTATTAAAGCTTATTTCCTAATTTACTGGGTTTTAATCAACTAAAACAAAAATGTGTTATTTTCGATTTTAGAATGTATTCGGAATTCCAGATTCGAAAACATTATTTTAGAATGTATTCGGAATAGTTTAGTATTCGGAAATGGCCATCCCTGCTTGCAACATTCAAAATTTCCCCTTGAAAAGAATATGTTAACTGTCTTTTTTTTTCTGGCGCGCTCAAGTATAATATCCAATTTATCGCCAGGCAGTTTTCCATTAAGAGAGAATTATAATATCTATTGCCCAACAGAGGACACTGCAATTCGAATAACATTGCAAGTTGCTGTGCGGTTAATGGCCATATTTGGTCATGTACTTTTTTTCTTGCTTTCTTTCTTGCTTTTTTCTTGTTCTATGTCGTCGGTAAGATACTCGCACAAATGTAAAAATTCATATTATATAATAAAAAACACGTAAAAAAATTTAGCCCAATTTCCTCCATTATATCTGACATAAATCAGGATGTCTCTAATAAAATGGAAACGTTTTTTTTTTCAGTATAAATTGAATAAGTATTCCTACGTCCCGATTACGCTTACATTCAGTCTGATGAAAAGTTGCTTTACACATCTGTGAAAAACAGAACGACAGCAAAAGCTTACCGTTTCGGAGTGGAAATGGAGAAATTTCGCGAGCTATCAATTCTGTGAGATGGTGTATAAACCGTTTAGAGAGGATGATTACCTCTCACACGGTCGAGACTTGGAAGTCGGGATGTTTCAAAATAATTCTAAATTTATGTTTTTCAAATTTGTTCCTCAGTAATTTAGCTACGGAGATAGTTATTTTTTGTAAAATTGATATAGGGCAGGAATCATATTAGCCATTTGATTTGTTATGATTAAATCATATTACGTATTCCAAGTCAAAAAAGATAAAAACAAAATTATTCTTTTGTTTTTGGTAAAATTAGCCATTATACCAGTGAAATTATACGTCAAACCGGATTGAAAGTAGAAATTGAACTTATAATTTGTGTTCAAAATTGAATAATTTCAATCAAAATAAACAGAAAAAAAAAATAGAAATTCTATATAATACTAACTTATATTTGAATAATTTTACATTCCTGCTTTGAAATTAAATTCAGCTTATCATGAATAATGTAGAAATCCTACTTAATTTACTGACATTGTTTATAATAAATATATCGACCTGGAAACCAAAGCAATAGTAAACAACTAAGGAGAAAAGGCTTTACTGCAATTTCGTCGTTACTATATTCAAACTTTTGAATAATTTAGTGTTTGTAAATATTAAAATGGAATCGTATACTTTGAATTAAAACTTTGTTAAAATTTTTGGAGATCTCTGTATTCGACTGGTTTTCTATAATTCTACTTCGTCCCTATAATTCCTTCTGAATATTCTATTTACAAATGCCACGATGCACTTTACTTCGTTATTTAGAAAATAAATGCAATAAATATCCAAATAAGTTGTTTTGGGTTAAAACTTTTGTTGTTTCTGATGCCATTTGATTAAATTAATATTCGACTCGGCGATTCGGAAATATTAATTTTTCGCGTATCTAGTTATACTTTGGTTTATTGCCGATGTTTTTGAATGTATTGCTATTTGTATATTTAAATTTCACACGCCTTTTTGTGTCATACTAAGTTTTCACGTTCAGTTAAAATTGAGGGGAGTTAGTAGAACTGTCACCAGAATTTTAAAAGTATTATTTACAGCTGTATACATAAATAAATATTTGAACACCTCACGGCCACTCACCTATCCGACAACAGTTAATAATATAAACATCAGTTTATGACAAAAATGTCAAACCCACTGTCAAAGAATGTCAAAGTATGAAAAAATATTAAATTACACACATATAAGCGCTACTGGAAACTCAAAATAAACACAGGAAGGAGTATAGTGTTACCACACTTATGAGTATCCCCTACCAAAACAAAAATAGTGCAAAATATACATTTTCAAAAACTCAAGTTACCCAAAAATGGCGTTAAAGTTGCTGTACTTTACTACAAAGCTAAATATCGGCTGTCAAGTCCAAAAGTGTTAAGTTGTCACTCGACGCTAAACTTTCTGAATTATTAAACGAGTGGAAATGCCAAATCCAATTCAATGAACAACTAAGCCGCTACTTATCGCACCCGACTCACTTTCGACATTTGTTGTCGGTAAACCCAAGAATGGAAATCGTACACTATATAAAACGGTAAAATGGGTTTTATTTTCATGTAACGATCTGCAGGGATTTTTAAAACAATGGTTAATACGAGTTCTACTCAAAACAAGGCGTTGTGCACCGTACATGAAACGATAAAATATTTTCTATTTCTAATACACTGTATATGGAATGTTAAACGGGTTCTATTTTTCTCAGGTGTAATAATATGCACCATCCCCAGTTTTTATGCAACGGTTTTACTCAAAACAAGGCTTTGCACGAACAGCTAGCTATTCATTGCCTGAAAGCTAAGGGCGGTAATCTAAACGGGAAACGATAAAATAGCTCCTAATTCTGTTATAAGCAAATGGTAGGAACGATAAAACGGCTCCCATTTGTCCTAGCTGTAACAATATGCACGGTTCCCAGGTTTATGCAACGGGTCTACTCAAAACATAGCGTTGTACAAGCAGCCAGTTATGGCCGTACATGAAACGGTAAAAGCACTATCAGCACCGTACATGAAACGGTAAAAGACTCCTCATATTCCCAGGGTTGGCGGAGTGCAGAGTTGTCATTTTAAACATCTTTCTGTCCGAACATGGCTGTGTATAAGCAGTTCTTTCTAGATAATGCGATGTTAAGTACACTTCTAGTACAGCAAATAATGACATTCTTTTATTCAATTTATCTTATATGAAAATTAATAACTTACCGGCATGATTATCATTGGTTTCTCCGTTCGCGTTCATGAATACGCTTGTTTGGTGGTCGTCCGTCATTGGAAAATCATCCGATGGGTGGCGTTCACTCCTCTTCGTTGAAAAATTCAACTTCTTCTGTGACGTCACAAATGCAGTTTATTTCGATTCTCCGCTCGTATTACGAATGACGTAGATTTCTTTCCCTGGCTTGGCAAATCGAGATACGATCAATGCCGTGGAATTGATAAACAGTTTTTGATTTTTCTCAATTTTATGTTATTTTAAAGTATACGGTCTGTCAATTAAGGTTCAACTATTAGAGAAGTATGATCTGTGGAAAGAAAATCAAAAATGAAGTTAGAAATAAAGATGGGTATACCTCCCCATATGCCCCATCCGAAATTGAATGTCACGTAGATAGCAGTGACGCGCAATGCCAATTAATTACTGACGTGTGTCAAAGTATTGATTGTTTTTGGTAATATACAAGCGTCAACTAAAACTGAATATCACTCTGACAGCCGCGTAAAATGCAAAAAAAAACTCTTTGGTTGCATTCAGCGCTCAATTTCGACTTAACTCGTGACTCGGGGGGTTTAGGAACTTGTCACTGAATATTATAAAACCATCTTACTATCTGATTCAAGCCTGATTATAAGTGCTTAATCTTTGTGCATAGATTAAAGTTATCGATTTTTTCAATAGGAGACCTGCCATATTTACTATTCACACAAGCTCATATAATCAATTTTGAGTAAGTTAACCATTCCCGAAATGGACTGGTAATAGGAAGGGAGGCTGTGGTACGTGATCGTAATATGTGAGCATAAAACTCAGTGTTAAAGTCTCCAATTTTACCAAGACTATTTATTACTATTTCCCTATTTTTTAAACCATACCAACCAAGAGTTAGAAGGAGTATAAATTACTGTCCCGATCGCCAATTTTCTGATCTTTTCAAAAGTCGGTTTCTTAAATACACAAAACTTGACTATCATAAACTTTTAAGGCGTCCTGCGATCATCTCTTTAACCGTAAACACCCAACAAACAATCAGAAATGGGATGAATATATTGTCTCAATTGCCAATTCAATGGTCGCCCTCCTAGAAGGCTGGTATCTTTATAAGAAAACAAAAATAACACCCCCGCCACAGTTAACGTGGTGAGTGCAATCTGCGGTACTCCCGGAGTGTGTGTACCAGGTTAGGGTTAGCCATAATTTTAATCCGATTTTTCTTATTTTAGTTCTATTACGAGTTCGGGGACTGTCTGTGTTAGCCAAATGAACATATGTTTCAGTCCCGTTATACAACTTGATGTAAAGTAGGCAAACAAAATTAGTTATCTTCATATTGGTACACATACTTCTGGAGCGCCCAATCTGCGGCGCTTTAAACGTGACAGGGGTGTTTTTATCAAATCTTACATTTTTGCTTGCTACATAAGATCCAAATGCTGCTTAAATATTCCTATTGAAACAACTATAAATTTAAGTTACAGAAACTATGCACATACTACACTGGCATACATTTATTCAATACTCAGTACGAAGGCAATAGTCATATTACAGGCGCGCAATCGCACCGTTACACATCAAAGCCGTCAGAGGGAAGTTGTCGAGATATATATAGCGCTGATTTTCTCAGAACAAATGATTGAGCGCTTTATCATTTACAATTGCGTCGGTTTGATTTTCGATGACGGAAAATGAACATTTCATTTTTATACACGGCCATGGTTGGGAGTTGTGAGCAAGACTTGCGGTGACATTTAATAAGAATACATCTACACCGCGTTGATGTTCCCTTTATGTCAGAGATAACTATAAAATAGTCGAGGCTTTACCTAAAATTGCACTTGATTGTTAGTACACATTCCGACAGTTCATGTTTAAAAAGTCGCTCACGTGGATAAAAGTACATAAAATTTTTTTTTGCTCTTGTCGATGTGTTGAATCTTTTTCTGTTTTGACCGCTGTCTTTATTACTGCAAGGCTAAGCATCAGCCGCATTCTTTTCTCTCGCCATTTCTGTATGGATGGACTAAATTTTTTTGTTGGCCCGGCAAGATGTCTAAAGTTGGTTGATCACCTGACAAAAATGTTTCATACCCCTGGTATAGACATTCGAAATGTTGACTAAAATATATCATTTTATTCTCACCATGTTTACTGTGAACAATCCTGCTAGCAAACATCCGCCATATATAGCTGGTGGTATGAGAGTTGGCCATTTATTGTCGCCGCAACATAAGATAATTCAATTTGAAGCTATACTGAACAATCGAAAAAAATCGTTTATATGAAGGTTTTTTTATATGGAACTTTTTAAATATCTACTACGGTATATACGTTTGCTTGTCTACGTCCATGGTCATGGGAAATTTTCTGATTTTATACCTTGTTGAGTTGTAATACCTGGCTTAGATATTAATCCTAGTAAAGGGAGTGTTTTCTAGACATTCGAAATGTTGGTCACGCTGTATTGTAGGCTTCTTACCAGGTTCTGCGTACACAATGTATTTAACGAGTTTATTTCTGACGCAACTTACAAATCGCGGTTTGAACTTGTGCTCGTCAATTGTAAAATAGTTTGTTCAAATAAGGGTGGCCTGCTTCAAACTTTTGAGATTTCGATCCTCCGAACGTGTACTACTCATTAGTATAAGTGTGCGGTTTGTCTATACGTCCTTGTTTGTAAAGAAGTTTTCCAATTTTTTCACATTGCCTCGTGGTTTTGCTTGACTTAAATATTGATTGTATACGATATCGAAGATATTTTCTATCTTGTTTGTAGGATAACAAGGACTCGGCTCGAGGATGGATTATTGGCGTTATGAATCCATTTATCATGTAAGCCGGTGCTAATTTGCATATAATTTAAACTAATTTGCATCCATGAATTGATTTTACCTCAGGGTTATGGAAAAATTACTATCCCGCATTTCTATTTCTCAATTAGCACTGATTGGACTAACACATACAAAGCTTATGAGCCATACTTCAATGCAAACTAGCTACTTACATGATTGAACCAGAAATCGATTTTTAAAACAAAAAAATGGTTAGACCAGACTAATATTGCTAGAATTAGTCTATCATTCAAATATCTATCAATAATAATCATGACATTCCAAACAAGAGACTAATGTTCCAATATATGGACACGGAGGTCCAATGATTAACCATAGTACTGATCAAAGATAAATAAAGCATATCATGCCCTGATGAAGTTTTTCTGAATAGAAATTCGAAACGTCGGCAAATTACATCGTTTTGCTATCACCGGTTGTGCTTTATTTATCTTCGAGATGAATATACCTACCTCGTGGTACGATCCTTAGTACTGATCGTTATGTGTCTTACACTGGTACGGCCGAGCCGAATGTGCAAAACTGGAGACAGCCATGATAGAGACGGTCACATTTAAAAAATACAAACAGTATTCACAGGAAATGAAGTAAGACAGCGAAATATTGGTGGAATCGAATTTGGATCTTAGAGGAAACTCGATAAGAAATAAAAATAATAGCCTTTTAGCGACTACCTCCATTTTTAAGCAATAATGCGATCTTTTCCCACTTAATAAGTTGTCCCGACAACAACGACTTGAACCAGATATTAAAAAGCACGACTCTGGAATCGGCTGCACCTCTTCAGTCTTTTTAACGACCATCAGAAAGAAAAAATATTTAATTAAAACTGAGAGAGAAACAATTTCGTAAATAGATTGAATTCATCACTGGCAACAACGTTGTCTAATGGAAGAGGGCCGGAAGGACTTGGATCGTTAAATTACAAAAATAAAATATTAATCGGTTAAATAAATTTTCAAAGACGTCAACAATTATGGCATCGCTGCAGTTATAAATAAACTAAAATCCTTAAACGCTGCCAGAAGATTAGTGTGATTAATCCATCTATAAAAAATCTAACGAGTTCGACTCATTTGAGGAGTATTAAAAATCTGGCAAGGCTGTTCATATAACCTCACTAAATCTCTTCACAAAATACAGATAAAATCAATGAACAGCAATTTTTATTTTCTGATATTTTGACCGTATTTATATAGCTCCTTTTTACCTGGAAAGACATTTGTAAATACTATAAAATGTTGGTTAAATTATTCTAATTACTTACAGTGTATTAATGCAATGGCACACGAATTGCGGTTTTAAATAAATTTCTGGCGTAATTAAATTTCAAACGATCAGTACACAAGATATTATCGATTTAGGGAAAATTTACAAAATAATATTCTGTAATAGCGGTTGATGCAAATAAATTCATCCGGCCGGTTTAAAAGGTTCTTGCTCCTAAATCAAATTTCTGTGTGCAATTTTTCTATTATGTTGAATTCCCTTACTATTTTCCTGTATTAAATTACTAATATTCCGTGACTACTGAAATACTTTTTACCAAAACCAGACTAGTCCTTTCTTTTCGAAAATTTTCCCAAGCACTTGCACTTGTTTGTATTAAATAGTTCCAATCTGTAACTACAGGAACACTTTTATGCAAGAAAGCATGCAGATTCTCTACCAGCAGTTTTTAATCAATTCAATCTCAGCACTTCCCCCTTTGTCAAATATTGTCTGTTGAACTGTTTTCCGGACAAGTTAGTATTAGGTTGTTCCAAGTCCCTTTATCAGATGGTTATTGAAACACTTTTTCAATACGGGTTTCTCCGCAAGTAATTTAAAGGCGCCGCGGGCTGCCGCCGCCAGATTAGTGCTTCATAGCATCACCATTCATACGGAGGTCCGATATATAGCGATCAAAATACAACAGTTGCAGCAAAAATTGTGTAAAGGTCGCGCCTGCAAAACATACAGATAAATCAAAACTTGATGTCTCTACATGAAATTGCGCACCTTTTCGTGATAAAGCATTCACTGATTTAGAAAAACAACGCCGACATAGTTTTCTCTACTTTATGTCTGCAACGAAATTTCAGGTATCGCAGTTAAACTTTTCTTTGTGTGCACTAAAAAAAAATTCTTCTGGGTTAATTTGGATTTTGAAAATTGTTAAAAAAACATTTCTTAAGAAAATGTTAATAAATTTGCAGGTCGAGGATTTATATATAAATATGTACCAGAATTCAATTTGAAATTAACCGTAATTTCTTTTCAAAATTCGTACATTTTACAGAAGACGGTAATTTTGATTTTTTGAACAACGTGCAACGCGTTTTGCACATTTATGCGCCTTTACTTTCGTACAAGCAGCCATAAATATTTAAAAAAATAAAATTCGTGAACTATGATCTAAGACTTGGGCCAAATTTTCCAAATGTTATACATTCCTAACTACTAC